GGCCTCATCAGTGACAGAGACTCATGGATCCTGCGGGGTAGGCCCCATCGGTGTTGGATGAGCCTCTTTCGAAGGTGATGCTCTAGTTTTTTGCGAAGCTCATCGTCGAGGGGAAAATCTCCAGGAAGGATGGAGATTGAAACAGGGGCCTGGGTAGGCCGGTGGTAAGGAAGGTTGGGTGCTGAAGAATAAAAGTCTTCATAAGATCTTTGGACCACAGAGGGCAAACCCCACAAACTTTCTTGTTGCTTCTGCAACACATTCCATTCCAAGTTTTGAATTTCAGATGAGGTGAGATTTTCCGATTCATTCTGGGGTTTGTGGAAATATACTCCACAGATTCTCAGCTGGGGTAAAGAACCAGATGGTAGCATTGGGAGTGGGGATTGAAGGTGGGCCTGGGGTTGGATATGAGTGAGAGGTAGGGGCTCGGATTGGGGCTGGGATTGGGGCAGGGTTTGAGGCAAGGGTTGAGGCTGGACTTCAGGCAAGGATGGAGATAAGGGATGAAAAAGTACTGGGAATTCTTGGGCTATGGAGACATTTGATATTCTATTGAAAATAAAGATCGAGGAATAGTCACACAAGACATGGACAGCAGAGGACAAGGACTCGCTGTGCAAAGATGGGAGACCCCAGAAAAGCTGGATATGATTTTTCACCAAATAATCCTCCCAAGTCTTCGTATGTGAAGGCTGCTGATGGATGTATAGTTCCTTTGGTTTGCCTTTGCTGCTCCAGAAAGGAAGGGTGACTACTGAGTCATGGTTATCAGCAGTTGAATCCAACATTTTTCCTGAAGAATTTAGGTGGGAGTCTGGCCTAAGCTGTTTTGGAAAAGAACCATTTTCCTTTTCCTTTTCCTTCCACATCAGGAATACACTCCTCTTTTGGACTTGTCTCTCTAGGAGTGTCAGGACGTTAGGGCTGAGAAAGAAAAGGTGACCACGTTCTACAAGGTTGGCTGCAGGTTCGCCCCCAAAAGAGGGCTCTGAAGAATGGAGGGCAAGAAACTCTTGATTGAAATCACATTGTGCCAAGGTGGGAGGGAACGAGTCTTTGGCATGAGCTTGCCACAAGGAAAAGTCTGAATTTGACAGGCTTGAATGGTCAATGCCTGCGATTGCTGGGATATAATCGGACAAAGCACCAGGACTATCTGGAGATGAGTTCTCTGGAACAGGCTTGGAAATTGATTGAGATTGAGGCACAGTTGTCATGCACTCTGGTGTTGGTGAAGTAGACAGTATTGGTGGTACGTGATGACAAGCAGATGAATCAGTGAGATTCATTGTCTGGGACAAATCTAGTAAGGGGTTGATATCTTGGGAAAGGGAGGGGTCAAGAAAGATGGTATTCAGAGTCAAAGTGGCTTCTGGTTGGAGAAGAGTATCTACTCTCTGAGTGGCATGTAGTGGGAGAGGGGGAAAGGCAAAAGGTTGAGGTTGGGAATGGTCCGCTGGGAGTTCAGATTCCAAAGGAGGAAAAGGCTCTGGTGGCAGAGAGTGACCCGGTGGTGAAAGTGAAAGAAAGTCAGCTAAGGGGGTTAATGGGTTAAGGGAGAGAATTGGGGGAGGCAGTGGGAAAGGCTCAGACAGAGGAGCTGATATTAGGTCTCTTGGAGGTACTGCTGAGAATGCAGGGGGCCAAGTGAATGATGACTCAGTCACAGAATCTGTGGAAGCCAAAGGGGACGCAGAGCGAGTAGCATCTTCAGGGGCATCTGAGGACAGCAGCCAATTGACCTCAGCAGTTATATCATTACAAATCTCACAAGACAGGTCTGGACATAATAGGTGACGAAAGCGGATGGTATCGTGATGCTGGCCCAGGGGGCTGCAAGAGACAGAAGGTACAAAGCTGCAACCAGGACCAGAACAAGGAGAGGAGGACCTACTAGCCTGATGGGGTGGGGCCTCCCAGCACCTGCTGCCCCTTCACATTGCTCCAAATTGATGACTTCACAATGCACTCTATAGCACTCACTCCAAGGCCTTCATTCACATCCCTGTTCCTACGGCTACTCCCCAACCCATGACTTTCGCAGGCTTCAGTGAGTCCCTGGAATTGCATAGAGCATGCTAAAGAGGGATCAGGAAAGGCGGGTGGAAAGACTAGTTACCTTTTCAGGATAGACATCAGCCTCTCTTTCTCTTCTTTTTCTCTCTGGTAATATCTCCGACCTGGGAAATCAGGAGAGTGAGTGATATGTAATGGAGGTAGAAGCATAGGTGTTACACAGGTGTCCCTTTATGAGAGACCATTGAGATATTAGACTCTGAAAGCCCTCAGTCAGTAGAGGTCAAATGGTCAATGATAATATTAACAAGGTTCCCATATGTGTTACTTCATTTATAAAGTACCTTCACATACATGATCTCATTTGATGCTCAAAACCACTATGTGAAGCAGAGGGGTCAGTGGTTACATCAGAGAGCAATCTGATCACCCAGGAATCAAAGAACTTTCACAAAGTCAAGAACAGAAGTTCTGACTCTCATCTGTTAGGCAATACCCATTGCCCAGTTCCATCACTCCTCATGCCCAGGGATGGCACAGCAGGAAACCTTAGAAGTGTCTCAGGTTCTGACTGCCTTCCCATGAGCCTCTCTGAGCGCTGTTTTAGGAGAGGGACTGTATCTAGCCACTAATGTCAGAGATCATAGACCTGGGACTTCATGGAAAGGAGAGGAAGGGTCGCTCTTGGTAGAATAGGCAAAACCTTACCTTTCCGCGTCCCACCTTTCCTTCTTCTCTTGGCTCTTCCTTGACACTGAGAAAAAGAAGAGAATCACTTCTCTCACTTCTCTCCCTAGGAAACCCAGCCATTCATGATTCAAGAACAATATGACCCTATTTTACTAGAACTTTGTGTTCTTTTATCAATTTTTATAGGTTTCAAGTATTTTAAATTTTTCCTTCTTTAGAAGACTCAAAGGAGTCTTTTGTCTATGAGGTCCACATTTGCTATTCTCAGTCAGACATCTGCTCTAGGAAGCCATGGAGTCTGAGAACAAGAGTTGCATCTCTGCTCCCTCAGATAGAATCCCGTAACCTGGGACAGAGCTCAGGCTCCAGCCTCTGCTCAGAGGCTCAGCACTGCTCTCCTGATCAGCCCAACACAAAGGAAGGCTTGGTTGAGTGAGGCCTGAATTGGGACTATGACTCATGATGAAGTGCTGGGGAACTCTGTTGTCCTGCAGAGATCAAACTCTAAATAACCCCATCCAGGGCCAGGACATCACTGTTTGGGCTTTTATCCTGGAACCCTCCACCAAATCCAGATGGTCTGTGAGCTTCTGTGGGAAGAGTCCCAGCTGAACCCCTAGCCTTGCCCAGACTATTCTAGAAGGATGAGTTTCTATCCTCTACTCAGACTTCCTATCTCAGGGATTACTCTGAGCCAACCACACTCAGCAGACAAACAAAAACTCATAGACACAGACTACAGTTTACTGGTTACCAGATGGAAATGAGAGTGGGGTAGATAAGGGTAAAGGGGGTCAAATGTATAGTGTCAAAAGGAAATTTAACTTTGGGTGGTGAACACATAATGCAATATACATATGATGTATTATTGAATTGTACAACTTGAAACCTATATAATTTTATTAACCAATGTCACCCCAATACACTTAATTTAAAAAGTGAGACTAGAAATGGAAACAATAATAAAGAATCTCTGCTGGGTCTTGCTCAGGGCTCCTTACCTTTTCTATGTTTTTGGTTTCCCAAAAGGTTGATAAAGCTGGAATCCCCACCAGGTAGCACAGGAACAGAAGGAGCAACCATAACCCACATAGGTAAGTGAGGTTGGGGTCAATATTTAAAAATGCTGAGCTGAAGCTCATAGAAGGGTCAGTTTGGCCATTCAGAAATGAGAAAATATCCCAGTGTCTGAATTCCATTATCCGAATTGCAATGCTGCCTGAGGCAACTGAGCTCTGAGAGTGTAGACTCTGAGACTTTATTGCCAGGCCTGCATCACAGAGCACTGATGAGTCACAAAGGGTTACTGAGGGTGGGGGAGGACACACCTTGAAGAGGGTGTGCCCACAGCCCCATCCCCCACCAGGCTTGCAGATCCCTCCACACCTCTTGGGCCTCTAGGTTCCTCTGCCCTATTTTCCAACTAACCTTTCATCACTTTATATATTTACCTTAATGAAATGTTCTTGTTCCATGTATAACCCAGATATTACCTGGGTCTCCCTTTCTTGTTGAAGACCCTGACTTGGGGCTCACCATGTCCACTACCTTGAAAATCTGAAATGCTGCCTGGAATTTTTGATGTACCAGACATTTATACACAGGATTATATATGTCCCAAATCCGTCTTTCCTATAGAATGTTTTGCCTTATGCAAACCCAGATATAGAACTTAAAGTTCTTTTATACTTAGATTTCTGAATGTTGAATAGCAAGTTTTAGTTTCAGTTAGCCTTTACTCTCTTCAATCAGAGGAGCTGACAATTAAAATGAATAATTCATTATTCAACATTCACAAAACTGAAATCAGTATAAACAAATGTAAATGATTAAACCTTCAAATGATTTGGGGGGTTAGTCTGCAGCACTTATTTCTCTGAAGTTAGTAAAACAAACTGCATAAAGACTTTCAGGGGACATACACGCACACACGCATGCACACACTTGACAAACCAGTTATTTCAAAATGAAGTATTTTGTCTTTTAATTTTAATCTTTCATTTTTTTATTTTGACCCCACTTCTTACTCTCTCTAAAATACGGACATCCCCTGCTGTCTATATCAATTTCCTAACAGCTGTACAAATCTCTGTCTTAGTTCAGGCTGCTATCATAAAAATACCAGAGACTGGGGTGCTAAAACAACAAACATTTATTTCATACAGTTCTAGTGGCTGAAAAGTCCAAGATCAAGGCACCAGCAGATTCGCTGTCTGGCGGGGCCCACTTTCTGGTTCATAGACAGCTGTCTTTTACCTACCACCTCAATGTGGTTAAAA